CTTTTTTTTTAAATAACAAATTTTTCCACCCTAGGATTTAGAACGAAGTAAACGCCAACAAGTTGAAGCGTGGGCGAGCGGGAATTCAGCGGCCATTTCAAGAAGGAATACCGAATTTCAAGAAATTGTACAACTTGGCCTGCATTGGTTCGGACTCAATTTCGTGGAATTACTACCCCATGTAACCATGGAAGGGGATTCAGTAACCTTTACAATGAGGTCCTAAAAATCTGTTTTAAAGCAATGTCAGTCAAAACTACAAACGGACTTTTTTTTTCTCTCAAGCGCGCACACTGTCACAAATGGCTGACAACCCAGGGAAAACACTAATAACTCACCTATTTCGTCGAGACCGGCTTAGTTTCACTCCATACAATAGTTAGAACAAGGTGACAGACCAGCTTTCCATTTCTTGTTAACTGCAAGTACATTAAGAAAAAAACCTACTGGGTAGTTTGTTCAAGCAAGCGCCAAGCTTTTCACTTCCATTGAACACCGAGCACTCGGGTCTCTCTCTTCGTTGGACAGAAATAACATGCGGAAACAAAAACTCACCTGCACAGTCAAACTCAGGGTTTTTTGTTCTTCCAGTAATTTCAGCCATTTTGCTAACAGTGGTTTAACCCTACATGTTTTTGCACCGCTCAAAAAACCCGCCCGTCCATTCTAATTCACTGCATGTTATGCTAAAACCACAAGCTCTTCTAGGCTGGCGTCAGCTCGTCACGTGCTCCAATGATGTCACCAGCATTTTCTTGCCCTTCCCTAGTCGTTGTGTCACCCTCCCTCCCCTTAAACTAATTTTTTTTGTATTGGTCTGAAAAACAGATGAGTTACTGGGACTGGCTACCCGCTGAAATCAAAGAGTCCATTATCCAGTTGACCGAAAGTCAACTAGCCCATGAGCAGCGAAGACAACAAATCCTAAGTAAAGTCAACAAAGAAATCGGCGTTCATTGGCACGTACAAGAGGCCCGGGGCCTAGGTGGCCTAAGACTACAAAATGTTAAGAATATACTAAGAATCAGCGGCTACTACAAAGACGAGGAAGGATGAAAGCGGCACGTTTTGTTACCCATCGACAAATTTGAAGATGCCTTCAATAGGATGAATCATGTCAAATCATTCCTGTAATACTGTTGCACACAAGTTTTGCAATTGTATATTTACACCCTGTCCTTAATTATATGTAATAAGCAAATGATTAAATAGTGTCTTTGCTATCATCTCTGTTATAATCTTGGCTTTAAATGCTTTTTTTATCACCTTATTTGTGATTTTTTAATTCGTCCCCAGCACACACAATAGTAAAAAGTTTATAGATCTGCTAACGCCCATAATCCCCGTAAATCGGCCACGTCATCCCTTTTTTTCGTGCAAGCAAGCCGCTGACGACCAATGGCACCTCTCAAAAATCCTTGGCGAGTGTGCGTGAGCTGCTGACGACTACGGCACCTCTCAAAACTTTTAATCACCACTCTCGCTGACGACCAACGGCACCTCTCAAAATGCAACCTGACATTGGCGCGCGCTGTACCTCCTCAAAATTGGCCACGCGAGCCGCTGACGCTCACATATTAATAAAAGGAGTGGCCTAAAAAAAATTGTACATTTGCCACGAGCGCTGATCATGGCTGACCTGACCGACGATGAGATGAATCGCTCTATGGACCTATACGAAGCCATGAGTATCTGAAAAAAAATGGACAGTTAAACGTGCACCCTATGCGCCCAAGTCATCCTTAGTACTGAGATTCCCGCTTGAACCAAGTGTTGCCATTACTTTGTTCATTACAATTGCTTCACCAAGGCACTCGGTGATCAATTGAACAAAGCTGTGATCACTGAGAAGTTGTACTGCCCACTCTGTCACTCGTGCATGCTAAGTGTGCTCGTCGCCATTTTGGACTGAGTCTGGTCACACCCACACTAGACATTCGTTTTGGACTTGAGATTCGTACGACACCTTTTGTCATGCCTTGTTCATCATCTTTCTTTTCATAGAGTTGCTGGGATTGGTTGCCACCCGAAAATCCAAGAGTCTCATTGAGACCTTTGGAACAGACATTTAATCGCGAGAACATTAAGAGAGAGAGAAATATGTTTTTAGGGTACAAAATTGACAACGCTAAGTCCACTTTACTTTTTCTAGACTGAAGAGAGTCGCTGGGATTGGCTACCTGCAGAAATAGTGTCCTGTGATGTTGCTAGCCGTGTCGCAACACATTATATATCAGAGAAGGAAGGAACTATTGGGAAGGCTTTGTGAAGAAATTGTGGATTATGCAAGATTAAAGACAGCCTGGGGATACGGTCACCTTGAAATAAAAAAGCGAAAATGTTATCTAACTGTTTGTAAAAGGTTATACAGGCGATTTATGCCCAATCACATGGATATCTACGGTCATTATGTCAGTCTCCATAACGAACTAAAGAAACTGTCTTTAGGATGCAGCGTTAAAGATGCGTTGAATAAGGTAGACGAGAAAAAATCGTTCTTGTTCTCTGCTGATGTCTGATTGGTTCTTACAGAGTAACTGGGATGGGTTACCACCCGAAATACAGGACTGCGTGCTTTCCTTGGCTACCTGGCAACCCATACTCGTCCACAGAAATAATGAACTGTTATGCAGTCTTCACCAAGAAATCCTAGACTATGCAAAACTGAAGGAAGAATGGGGCATAGGACACATTAAGAATGTTGTATGTTGATGTGGTTCCCCTGCTGTCGAGGAAAGAAGGAACAATTTCAATATTTGAAAATATACGGATGTTACATTGACATTGCCAATAAACCTCAAAAAACGTATATAGCCAACACTTATGAAGCTGCTATGGAATGTGCCCCCATTGTAAAGTCGTTCCTCTACCCCATCGGTTTATGCAGTGCTAAATACAACTTATACAGATATTACAGATATAATCAATCTTTCAGAGTCACTGGGATAGACTACCCCGAGAAATACAGCGTTATGTGCTTTTGTTGGCTACCTGGCAACATATAATTGACCGAAGAGGGAACAGACTGTGTCGCAAGATTCTTAGAGACATTTTATGTTACACTAATCTGAAAAGAGAATGGGGACACGGTCACATAGAAGTAAAATGGTTTAAATGCAACAGACCCCAATGTATAGTGTTTTACGGACCATTTATTGCCCATCACACTACCGTCCACGGTTGTTATGTAAACTGCCGTAACGAGAAAAAGAAAGTATGGTTAGGGTTCAATTTTGTTCACCCCATGGACAATGTATATGATTGGATGTGTTATTAGCCAATAAAAAACATTTGTGTTTGACCTCATACAAAAGCATTGTACGCGTCCTCAGTGTGTCCTCATGTCTTTGCAGACTCCAAGATGAAGTCGGTCACTCTCCCCAGTGCCCACGCCCAGACTCAACGTTCCACGTTCCACTCGTTCTCTAGACCGAGTCCGCGATGACAATGACTGGATCTTCGATCTGGCCATCGACCAGATATTAAACGAAAACAGTAAAAGATTGCACGACCAAGCCTTCTTGGACGATGACATGCAGTATGGCGGCGGCGGCCCCACCACCCATTTCCTAGACTTTGAACTACGACCTGTAGGCACCCGACGTAACTGGAGACACGTGGTGAACAAACGTAGATACGAAGCCACGCTCAAACACCGAGACGTGAAAACCAGGGCCAACCTGGGCCAAGAACTGACCAACGCCCTGCAACGATCCATCCAGCGACAAATCGACCAGGATCCCAGCCTGACTTGCCACTCCACCGTCCATTTCAGCATGCAGTCCAGCACCTTCACGCACGCCTTCCAATCCACCACCTTCAACGTGCGCGAATTCCAAGAAGGCAGCCAAAGACTGGACACTGATCTCCAGTCTCTCGTGGCCAAACTCAACTCCAACCAGGAATTCACCCCGGACGACACCTTTACCCTGGAGACCACCTTCATCCAGACGCCCAGTCCCGGTAGTGGTCATGGCAAGCGATACCAACCCAGCAAAGCTGCCGTCCGGGGCATTGTCAAACAATTGCGTGTGACCATAAAAAACAAAGACCAACTCTGCTGCACGCACGCTATCGTCACCATGAAGGCAGAGTCGATGGGGGATCGACAGATGCCAATTACAAAAACATGCTGCGAGGTCGTCCCATTCAAACCAACCGTGCTAAGGAACTCCACCGCTTAGCTATCGTCGCTGAAGGACCTTGCAGCCTAAAAGAAATTGACATGTTCCAGGTGGCACTACCCGGGTATAAGATCAAGGTCCTGTCCATCGACCCGCCGCACATGATCATTTACGCGGGACCCGTAGACTCGGACAAGCGCATTCTCCTCATCAAGGAGGACGGCCACTACGATGGCTACAATTCCTTCGGCGGGTTCCTCAGCAAATCGTACTTTTGACACGAATGCAACCGTGGCTCTGACCATGACCACAGTGAAAATCATCCCTGCAATGGCAAATGGTTCCCCGCCTCCAAAGGACAGGACTGCCCCGATTACATTGAAGCCAAAAAGACCGACAAGTTTCCACATCCTTCTAAACTATGCCGCACCCGCTGCCATCGTGCATTCTTTGGAGACCACTGCGACATCTCCCACCTGCTACGACGGGGCCCGAACACCAAATCCGTCTGCAATACCCACAAAAAGTGCCAAGACTGTTGTCATGTCTACCAACTAGACAATAAAGTGCGTTGCAGTGACAATCGTCGCAGTGCCCCACAATATGTGTGCGGACAGGGCGAGTGCCGCATCTGCGGCAAACAGGTCATGCTGTCCAGTCACAAATGCTTCATCCAATGCATCCCCGAAGAAAAAGACCAACCCAAAACCAAAAGGGTCCATCGCGACCAGGTCAATGGCCGTCCCTTCAGAGAACCCTTGGCACACGATCCCGATTGTGTCGTGGTAGACAGATCCTCCTCTCCAGGTCTACGCCGATTACGAAGCCACCGTGGACCAGGAGGGAGTGCAATCGCCCATCCTCCTCTGCACCGAGATGGATGAAGAGGACCAAGAAGTGTCCTTTTACGGACCCAGCTGCACCACCCAATTCTTCTACTGGCTAGAGGAAATAACCATGAACCAAGACGGCGACGATCGGGACGTCATCATCATCTTCCACAACCTCAAGGGCTACGACGGCATGTTTCTCCTTGACTACTGTTACCATCATCACCGAGAAGTCACCAACCAGATCACCCTCGGTACCAAAATCCTCTCCTTCAAGACGGATCGCCTCACCTTCAAGGACTCGCTCTGCTTTCTTCCCATGCCGCTGGCCAACTTTCCCGCCACGTTCGGCATCCAAGAATTGACCAA